CGCTTGGTTACCTACCCTTCTGATCGAACTTGTATTGATCCACTTTGAGACCGGCACAGCAGCCGCATATTGCGGCGCGGCACTCGCACGGCTGCCCGAATGTCGACCAAATGGAGCCCTTCTCCGAATACTTAACGCTGGCCAAGTTGCGGCCACGCGACACGCTCACCGTTGGCGGCAAATACGGCGTGTGCGTGCCCAGCTCGTAAAAGATGAGTCCATTGCTGTAGCTGCGTGCCACAATCAGCGGCAGCAACGAGACGGCGCCGGCGCAAACGCACGCAAGCAGCACAGTCGAGGACAACATTTCAATCACAGTTTGCAAGGCAATATGACAATATCCTTAAATCAATTGCACAATTAACACAGCAACAAAAATAAATCACAGAAAATCTGTATAACTTTTTTTGTACACTCAACAAAAAAAAAAAAAAACAAAAAGGAGAAGCACGCGCGTTGTTGGCGACGTTCGATCAGCGTCCGCGTTTTGTTGCCAATTGCAGTAGCTCAACCGCTCGCGAGTGACGGGAATTAAATATTAAAACGCTGAACGCGTCGAGCGTTTGCTTAAAAATGAAATGGAAACCGCCAGCCGAGGCAGCTGGCAGCGACGCAACAGCGACGTCGGCCGAGGCAGCGACAACAGCAACAACAACGGCAGCTGCTGCTGTAGCTTTTTGCAATATTTTTTCCGTGAGTAAACTGTTGTATACGCTCGCAGAAGCAATTATTTATACAATTATTAATATTGTTTATGTACCAGACGAAATAGCCCGGCATTGCCCGCGTCTAAAGATTGCTGTTAAAAGGGCAAATGCTCAGTAGCATATTTTTGCAGCTCACTTTAATTTCGGGCAGACACAAAAAGCTATAAATTGATCAGCTTTGCTTTATTCTTTGTAAATACCAACAGAGTTAATTTGCTGTTTGAGTTGAACCGGCGACTTTTCGCTTGTTGGTCCGACATTCGAACACCTAAGGCATACAGGCTCATGACGTCACGTTTGCAACACATATATCCGCGTTTTTGTGTCTATTTTTTCTGCACATTTCGTACAACGTTTTCCTTTTGCTTGGACAGGCTTGTGCTGAGCCAAGCAAAGTTTCTGTACAAATTACAATCATAAGGTTTGCAGTCAGTCAGTCAAGCAGAAGAAACTCTTCTGTGTACATAAATGTATGTATAGCATATATACTAGAGTTGCCTAACATATATTCCAATTTATATATATAAAAAAACATATATTTGTCTCTAAGCACTTACCCAACTATCCACATTATTTTATTGACATCTATAAGCAGGAAACTTTTCCAAATACATATCACTAAAAAAAAATAAGATAATGAGCGAACGAATTAGAGAATTAATCAAAGCCTAGCGAAAGTCTGTAATCTTAATTGAATTCATGAGAATCGCATAACAGCGCGATCTTTACTATATTACGAATATCTAGATATTTTACTTATTTAGACCTAAAATGACCAAATTTTAAATAAAGATGAGCTTCTGATGAACTCCTTACTATATTCATCCTAGTATAACGCCCATTGTACTGGGTTCAGAACGGAAAGTCTTAAACTCTTAGCAAATTTGGATTTTAGCTCGCCTTAAGCTGCCATTGAAGTGAAATAAGTTAATTAAACTTGCATTAAGGTAGTCAGTCGTGTAGCAGCTCGTTTTTCGTTCGACAGAATACGCATTTCAATTTCAATTCCACCATCGAGGGTGAAATATGGGTGGAAAACTTTTGATTGCAACTTCATTCTCATTCTCAATTTCTTTGTAAAAAAAAACTACCTGATTATAGAAATAATTTTCGCTCTGTTAAGAGTTATTTGACTGCAAATTTAACTAATAGTTAAATGATCAGACATGCAGATAGCATTTTAGTGTTGCACAACAGCAATTGACAAACTCTTTGAAATGCTGCAGCAGAGAGCATTTCTTCGTCGGCTTGTTAAAAACAGAAAAATGTTTGCTTTCTTGTTATCAGCGCGCTGCAATCGTTGGCAGTCACTGTCACAGTTAACGCTAGCTGCTGCTGTTGCCGCCGACTGCGACGTCAGCTGCGCAGCTGTTGTTTTTTGGCTTTTGGCTGTTGCCGCTTTTATTATTATTTTTTTTTTTGTTATTTTTATTTTGTTGCTGTTTGTTTGTTTGTTTTGTCTTCTTGGCTGCTGTTGCTGTTGCTGTTAACTGTTGCGGCTGCTGCTTGGCTTTGTTGCGTGTGCCGCGCGTTTCGGGTGACAGTGACAAGAAAATTGCGCCGGTCGTGACTCGCTGGGAAAGCCAAAAACTGCTGCTGCTGCTGCTGCTGCTGCCACTTGAACCTCTGCCGCTGCTGCTGCCGTTGCTGCTGCTGTTGGCGTTGCGGCCCACCCATTGTTGTTGCTGTTATGCAAAGCTTGGCACTTGGGTTAGGTCAGGGCGCTTACGGGTTCTGCACAGCGTCTAATAGAAATGAAAAATTCAAAAAAAAAAGAAAAAAACTCCCACCTTAAGAAAGCAGCAGCGGAAAAAACAAAAAATGTAACTGGTAAAAGCGACTGATTTGTGGGCAAACGCTGGCCGTTTACATTGCTGATTTATCAATGGAAAGCAGCACCATTGTTTGGGCCATTTTCGCCGGCAATTTCGCCAGCCCAGCCGCCCAAAAAGGGTCTTTAAATCCAATCGCATTAAGCGCAGCGCTGCGATTGCATAATGTGTCGGACTCGCATTGCAATTAACCACGCCTGCCAGCTGTTCAGTGCTCCCAAGCCCAGTCGCTACCAATCTTTTTAAGCGTTTACGGGGTGCGAAGTCGGCGCGAGAAAGAGAGCGGAGTGCACGACTAAGAAATAGCCTATGTCCAGCATATGTGTATGGAGGAGGAAGTTATCCTAAAACTGAAATATTCAAGATCTGATTCTATACAAACGTGACAAGTTCGAATTTAAAACAAACTCGTACTGCTCAGGGACATTGAAAGATCTAAAGTCCATCTAAGATCTATGTTCAAAATTTCTCCAACTCTTTTCAGATCTGAGGTCGACTCGTTCAGACAGACGGACATGACTAGACTAACTGTATTGTCAACGATGCTGTCGTCTGTCTGTTACATGCCGTGGCTCACAACCCATATGCCCTTCTTAACCATTTTCAATGAGTATATATATATATATATATAAATAAAAAAACTGTCAACGCTGCCAAGAGCTGCGACAATTAACGCTAATTCGACGTCGTCATCGTCTGCCACTGCCACTGCGCCTGCGCCAATTGCTAGACATTTGGAATTTCAAGGGGGCGGGGTGGTTGGGTGCCGGGCGGCCGTGGTGCAATGCGCCCGTTTATGTAATGAGCATCGCTGGCGTTGTTGGCCATTGTCATGGCAATAGACGCGTCGCATCGCCTGGTCGCTTATTGGACATTATTATTCATTATTCAGTATTCGTTATTCATGTTTCATTACTGATAATATCAATTTTGAATGCGGCCGCCTTCGTTTCTCTTTCTTTGCCACTGTTATGGGGTCGTCATTAACGCTCGAACTCATCAATTGAACAGGTGAATTGAACAATTGCAGCTGCATATGGGTCAAGTGATGAACGCGTAACGCAAGTCGAGCCGATTAACAGCACTTATTTTAAATGATGCCAGTCGCTTCTTTCTTTATAGTACCTATTTGTAAAACGGCCTGATGCAGTCACTGGTAATGTTAATTACACGCTCTGATCAGCTGTCGCTTTAAGAAAATGTAATTGCCATTAACTGTGCAGTCATATAATGTGTCAGAGTTGCATTTCAAATTTACAAGCAGGAATTGGGCATTGTAAAGTGACGGGTAACTGGCAGGTAAATAAGTGCAAGAAGAGATTAAAATTTGGTTCGAAATACTCGCTTACTTTTGTCCACAGTTATTATTAACTTTTTTAAATAAAACTCAAATATTAAATTAAACCTTTGGATAATATAGCTGCTGTCAGGAGGATAAGCCCAACATGAGGATAAAATGTTAATCGTTAGCAAATCAAATAGTAGCCATTGCCTGTCGTATATAAATATATATAAATATATTGAATCGAATCAGATCGAAATATCTATGTGCTTACAAGCGAATTTCCATTTAGGAAAGAGCTTAAGTATTAAAATTTGACTTTATTATTTATTTGCGGTTATCTTAATGATCAAATTTAAAATTAACCCTAATGTTTTAATGAATGTGGAATCGTACTATAAGCTATATAAATATATATGTTCTTGATCAATAACAACATCTGAGTCTACATAATTATCGCAGATGCTTAAACGCAAACTAATCTCAGAAATTTGATAACACTCTAGGTATGTAGCTTGTGAGCTTGTGCTACAATTATATGTTATTGTGTTACCTTCTACTTAAAAAACCCAACACTGGGACAAAATGTTAAACTTAAGTCAAGATGGATGCTAGAACTTAATGATTCTCAAAAACAATTCTATTATGAAATAATTGAGACACCCTCCTAACAGGTACTATATATTGTTATAAATAACAACTACCCCAATCCCAGAAAAGGTAAAAACACAATTTAAGAAAGTGAGAAAAAAAACTTCGCATAATAATAAATGAAATAACTACAAGTAGCCATGAGTACCCATGAATGCATTGTCCGCATAAATCCGTACACAATTTGTAAACGTTTCCTCGAGCCGTGCAGATTACACCGCATAAATCAACATAGATATTCACACAAGCAGCCAAGTCCAAAATGGAGCGTTGACTGTTACAGATCGGCAGGCAACTGGTTTGCTATGCCAGCGCCTGTCCAGCAACTGGCCCATGCTGGCAATAAAGCCACCTGGCCTTTAATATCAAAAAAAAAAAAAAAAAACCTAACAAAACGAGCATTTGCCAGCACATAAATGCTCGACTAAGTGATACCGTGTAAAAATCAAACCATACTCACATCATTTTCTGTGCTCGTGAAACACATACTAACACATACTACACATTCCATTGGAACATATCTATTTAAAATTAATAGAACATTTTTTAAAGGAAAACTACATTTTTACCCACAATATAAATACGTTGAAACTGGAACAAAAGAATGTGTTAATCCTCAGAATTAAAAGAAAAAATCTGATATAATGGAATATTGTCTTAAGCTTTATGTGAATTCTAGGCTTTCTGTCTGGATGAAAAGAAAGACCCCAACTGGAAAGGTAGATTATACATTAAGAATGTAGTTCTTCATCTGAGATATAATCATTGAAAGCTGTATTATGCCCCATTTGAGGCAATTTTGTAGAGGGCATCAAATGTGGCTTGCAGACAGACTGGAGATGTGGCTTGGACTTGGACTTGGTCATTGGCAAGGTACGCATATGGATTCGTGACTTGCGCATGGATTAGAGTGACCATTTGGCATGTTTATAACCAGTTCACCCGCAGCTCTGTGCGTGCGCTTCCGTTTTCCGGACCAGGTCCAAAAAACTGGATGACAGGCGACATAAAAATATAAAAATGCGCAACACCTGCAATTGGAGCAACAATCGTGCAACAACCAGCAGAATGTCAACTTCAAGTCTTGTGTGGCTGCTCCTCCTGCTCTGTCATGGCATCAAAGGCCAGCAGCTGGTCTACGCGCGTGGCCAGCGTTCGCTTTACGGACCACCGTCGTTGGACTGGAACACCATCGGTAGCTTCAATCCCATCGGTCTGGGCCATATGACCAAGGATGAGCTGTTGACGCTACTGGAGGCCTGGCAGGATGCCGATGAAGACACCAAGCCGCCTGCACCGGAGCCAGCTGAGCATGCAGTACCAACGGCAGCGCCACCAGAGCGGCCACCAGCGCCACCACCACCACACCGTCCAGCGCCGCCGGCGCATCCGGCACCATTGCCTCCACGTCCTGCTCCGGCACCAGCACCGACACCAGCACCCGGAGCACCAGTTACCGTGCGTCTGCCAGCCTTTGTGCCCATCCAGCTCTCGGCCATGTTCACGCCACCTGCGCCAGCTGGTGGTGCACAGGGAGCAGCTGCTCCCGTGGACACTGGAATTGCCCTTAACATTGACAACGGTGCGGTTGGCCTTGACATGGTTGCGCAATCCAATGATAGGGCCTCGCCACGCCTATTCCGCTTTATGCAGCTGCCCATGATTGCCGCTCAGCCGCGGGCACGTTCCGCCCAGCCGCCAGTAGCGCGCAATACCCTGGAAAGTGTCGACTCTGGCATTGCGCCACTTGTGCAGGCCAAGGCGCTCAGTGCAAGTGACAGGCCTAAGGATCTGCCCATTGTAGCAGTGCGTCAAGCGCCTCCAGTTAGACCCAGGTAAGCAACTCTTGTTGTTACTCATCTCTTGTGCTTATCGCAATGCACCTTCTTAGATTTGCGCTGCCACCCTTCATAGCCAATGCGCCCGGCCCACTGGAACTGGTGCCCTCCTCACAGATCATTGGCGAATGGCGCGAGTAAACCAAAGTCCATGAGGCTTCAACATATTTTATTTTTTTTTTTTTGTTATATATAGTCATAATGTACACACAAGAAAAGCCTGACGATTAACATTTTAAACAATTTTCCTATATTTTTCCTCCCATATTATTAACGCGAGTGCAAAAGATTGACTCTTGTCTAAGTTTTATATTTTTTATGAAAAACTCTTTGTTGTATATATTTTTTAAGTCAATTTGCTCTAACAAAAATAATAAATAAATTAAGTAACCATTAAAATCAAAGCTCTCTCTTTCGATTTTAAATAAGCCACCTTTTTTGTATTTTCAAACACCGGCTATTTGGAGAATTTTGCCCCTCTGGTCACACTTACGTCAGACACTAGACTAAAGAGTGTTGCAAAACAAACGAAAAAATACTAAAAAATCAGTATATCTGTTAGGAAATGTTGTATTTTATAATACCACGAATAGAAAACACGTAAACAGCTGATTTTTAACATCAGCGAAAATGCCAAAACAACAAAATTATTGCATTTGTTCGCACAAAAATAATATTTATATTAAAAAAGCAGCTGCAATGCAATACAACACCTCATATATGATGCAAAAACTCGTGGACTCGTGAGAAAACAGGAACGTGGAAGTAAGAGATGGTGCTTATTTGCAGCCATTCAAACCCATTTCATGAACATTAGCCGATTTCACATTTCAATCAATCTTGTTTAGACCGAGGCCTACAATTAAGCAGAAATCAATCAATTAATGCTTGTTACTTGCTCGACTACGGAATACAACGGATTTCCGGGGTAAGCGCAGTACGAATCCGAAAGAGATGGCATATGGCGACGCGTCCTACACCGATTAGAGGGAATAAGCGCGATTCTCAACAAATCGTATTGCGATGAAGGAGGACGGAGAACTGGAGCGTGGTTCATAATGTGTAATTATAATTATAACTATAAATATAACCAATTACAACAAGAGCAATTGCAGCAAACATGACGGAAACGACATCATGTGGAAGCATTTCCCCAAAGGATTCTACCAAAATCTCAAAGGTTATATATCGATATTACAAAAATATGAGGGAATATCGAAGTTCGACCCGTTTACCCAGAGAACGATTGGAACTCACTTTCAAATTTGATAATACCAAATGTCCAAATTACTTCAATTTATTGGAATTAGATCGAACTCCTCGACTTGAGTAATTTCAATTTTAGTTTAAAATAAAATGTTTTAAGTATTCTTAAATAGTTATTGTACGCATCTAAGAAGTTATGAGATCTTCAACTGTCGAAACCTGTGCAGTTGTGCCTTTTGGAAAGCTTTGCCTGTCTTTAAGGACCAACAATTGGAAAAAGGACCTAGTCCTACTTGCCCCAAAAGCCAGCAATGAAGACACATTGATGCGAGCACGGATCAATAGAAACCCGCGTCCGAAATCTACATTAAGAAAATAGACTAAAAATTGTTCTGTGGTTCCAAATGGAAGTTCTTAATTAATATACTTGATCTTTGTAAGCTAAAGAAGACATTGGAGGAGGTCCTAAAGTATATGAACTAGAAAACGGAACGTGTGCCGTTGCCAAGGGACATAGATTAATCAATTTTGTTGATATTACGATCTTGATCTTGTAGATATATAGTAAAAGGTATAAATTAAGTTTATAAGTTAGAGGATAATATATGCAGCATTGGTGGAGATCAGGTACTGCAGAGCAGCCGCAATGCAATGCTACGCAATTATAAAAATCATGCACACTCTTCAACTTACCAGCATGTATATATATATATATATATACTCCGATATCGGTTGCAGCGCTCAGCTCTAACATAAATGCTGCTGGCTTCAGCATGCTCAATACCAAATTGTCCTCTGTGTTGGCTCGTGGCATAGTTTCCTCCAGCGGTCGCCTGTTCGCTAAGAATCCTTCACACTCGAATCGGAGTACTTGCCGATCCTCCAGTTCCAAGCTGCCAACTTGAAAATCAGTTTATTCTTCAAATGGTCTACAGCTAGCTGGACAATTCCTGCGATGCAATAAAACGCGTCCATAGCCGGGAACAGCAAATCATCAGCTTCAGTTAGGAACGTAGAGCACCACAGCATTTTGGACAATCAGGAAGACGGTGTCACTGTTGTTTGGATCCTAAGTGTTCAGGCTAATCCTGGATAACGCTCAGCCCAGCTGCGCAATGGCCCAAGAACTGAGCCACAGCAGGCGCTTGATGAGCAAATGAGCCAACAGTGATCGGGCACAGTTTCCTGGAGTTATTAGGGGAATCTACCTCAAAAATATGCATCCTTTGTAAGGCCTGTTGCAGATATTCATCATCGGCACCTTGCCCAGAATTGACAAGTTGTTTGCACCCTGTCGCTCTATATGTCAGGCACTCGGCGCCTTGTTGGCCGTGTAGGACTGTTCCCATTTGCTCCATGTTGCCTCTCAGCATTGTTTGTGCATCAGTAATCTCTTGCACTGGCAACGGCCAGTTGTGCCATGCCTTGCTACACTGATGTTGCCACTTGGTGCGGCATACATCGCAGAGGTGCAAAGGTGTAAAGGTCTGCAGCTCATACTCCATTCTGGCTACCGTGACGTCATCTGCTTCATCTGCTCCCGAGGAATGATTTTGTGCAAGGCACATATGTATGTGTGCATGTGTGTGTGTGGTAACACATTAACCAATTGAAGCGATTGAGAGAAGATATACACAATTTTGTGTATATATGTACATACATACGTATGTATGTTTGAAAAAAACATGTAGTCACACATATGTATATATGTATGTACATACATACACACACATACAGTGACCGTTTGAAACAAGCCGAAAACCGAATCGCGGCATTAAATCGGGTTGAAAATACGACTTTAACCAAATTAACTGCGAGTTTTCGATAGTATACTTTAAATATGAAGGCAACTTGTTTTGATTATCAAAGTAAATTCGTTACTGATCGATTTGTAATATCCTACAACACTTCTTTGCACTTGGCGGCTCAAATGCTTACTATCCCCTCTCTCTCTCTCTCTTCTCCTTAAGCTTGCCATGTTCGCTTCTGCAGTCGGCGTCGCTGCCGCTGTTCAGCTGCATGCTTCGGGCATGGCTGACTTCTTTAGCGACGTTAAACGGTTTCTCGATCGGCCCGTTATTTGGGATTTCTATTAGTGGTGACATTTGCTACTCGTGCTGGTTGAATGACGACTATCGTCGCCTCCTCGTGACACATGAGATCAGTTAGTTAAGCAATGCTTAAACTAAAGCAATTAAAGTAAAACAAGAATTTACTTTTTTGCATTAGTTCAACGCAGCGTAGTGCCACACTTTATGTAATAACCCATTGTCCAATAAACAGTCACAAATTTCCTATAGTATAGTATTTGTATTTTCGGATATCTTGAGGTAAATTTTTGCTTCGATTTGCTTTTTAATTATTATTATTCTAAAATGTAAAAATAACCAATCTATAAAAATGTATTACGTCTGGCAATTATGTGTGTCGAATGACGAACCTGTGCGTAACCATTTGACTTTCTACAGCACATGCATGTACATGTGCATACATACATACATATGTATGTATGATGATGCACTGCGAAAATGACTGCTAATGGAAGACGCACAATAAAACAGTTATTGCTATACTCCATTTTCTTTCGCATGCAATTCGCTTTGACGCTAAGTTCCGCCAAAGAGGACGAGCACAGGTTACGCACTGGGCCGCAACGAGGCGCGTCAGCATCAGAGATTAAAACGTCACACTTCATAGGATTATTGTTTGTAAGCCTAATACAGTGTACTTATAGATTGGGTACATAGAGGCATACATTAAAAACCAACACATTTTAAGGAAAACTGTAAGCAAATTAAGTTTGTCAATATTTATTACTTATTGTACATCAGTTCGATTGTATAAGAAACTATCTATCTGTGACGTCATACGGAGAACAAAAACGCGTGCGTTCTGTTCAGCTTCACACTTTTTTTCTTTCGCTCTCTGGCTGAGAACGCTCAAGCCTTGCTCAGCATGCCAGTCAATGATCTGCACGTCAGGCGGCAACAGCTACTGATGCGAGCGCTTACACATAACGGTTAAAATGTGAAAATATATGAGTGGGTGTGTATTTTTATTTTTTATTTTTTTCTGTGCTAAAACAAGTAAAATAAGTCAATTACACGCTGGTGCCAAAAAGTGTTAATTAGCTGTAAAGCATTAATGTGAAAATTAATGAAAGGGTGTGTATTTTTTTGTTTTTTTTTTTCTGTGTCAAATAGTGAAAAAGAAAGGAAAATTAGTGTTAATAAGCTGTAAAACATAATCGGCGAACGCAACAATAAAATTGGTCAAAAATGTGAGTATAAAGCAAACAAATAATTGAAGATTCAAAAAGGATTTTAAATTTTAATTATTCTTCTTATATATAAATATGATTTCATTTTTCTACTCGTTCGAAATGTGTAAAATAGTATGTATGTATATTGTGTGTGTACATATTTACATACATACATACATATGTATTTATGTGTGTGTATGTGCCAATTTTTGTTGTTTCTTCACATTGTGCGAATGCCACGTACCAAAAAGGACGCGCCAAAAAAAAAAACAGTTATAATTACATTTGTGTTTTTCGGCTTGTTTTCGGTTGAGCAAAGCGGGGAAGTAAAACATAACGGTATTTTAGCATACTTTTGTTCTTTTGCGAGCACTTCGCTTGATTTTGCATTTGCAAAGAAAACGTATGTAACGGTAAAAAATCGCAGGCAGAATAATTTGAATAAAGCAAAGCAAATCAATGGGCTTACCATAGAGAAGTTTTTACGCCCAGAACACACATGTTTTGAAAAGCTTTCTACTATTTAAATGCAAAATAAGCTCGACAGAACAGGATTTATTTTCACTCCTGTCAAACTCATTTCGGCATTTAAGCATGACTTTGATTTTAGCTTTTGGAAAGCTATTGCAACTGTTGCGAGACTAACAGTAAAAGCTACACGTAGCAAAAGCTTTTACGGCACTGTTGCGTCTCTGTAGTGTACAACGACTTGTAAACGGATGCTTGTGGACTCGAGTCCATCGTTGCGATTTCAAAATCATTCGTCAACAGACTCTCGTGCGATTCGGTTCAGGCTCAGTCTCAGTCTCTCTATCTCTCTCTGACAGGCAGCAGCTTAAGCATTGGCTCAGCATCAGTGACAGTCAATGATTTGAACGTCAGGGGACAAGAACAACTGTTACACGCGCGTACGCCTAACGGTTGAAATTTGAAAAAAAAAAAACAAAAGTAAATAAGTGCTCGTGTGTGTTGTTTGTTGTTCTTTTTTTTTTGCCGTGCCAAAGTAAAAGGTGTTTACATTTAACTCGGCAATTGTTAGCTGAGCATAGTCGAAATTCGAAAGTTTTGAATTGATTTTCTGAATTTAATAAATCGAGCAGAATTTATCAGTTTCACGCTGTTGCCAAGAATTCGTAGGCCTGTTCAAATTCTACGCGAGATAAGCTCTAACAACAAAAACAACAAATACAAATCTAGGCAAGAAAAGTGAGTATAAGGGGGCTAAATAATTGAAGTTTGATAGATAATTCGTATTCAAATTGTGTTTTTTAGGTGCCATATTATTTGAAATTGAATTTCTACAACATTTTTAAAGTTAAATAATCTAACGGTAAGATTGAAGACATTTGGTTATTTCCGATATGTATATTTAGATTGTATATTAAGTCCGAATGTTCCAGTTGTGAGTCAACTCAACCCAGAGATACCTTGCAACTAGCTTGATAACATTTCAAAACTGTTTATACAAACTGTACTACTTATATACCACTTGATGGTAACGGGACTATATAAGCCCCAAAAACTTGCCTAAGAAAAATCGAATCTGTAAATCGATAATAATAAATTTTGAGGAATTCACAGTAAATTGTACCTGCAGTAGGAACAGCTACATTCCTAGCTTGAAGATTTGGCTTCTATGATCTCTGATATCCATTTCCTATAATCTCAGATAACCCTTTTAGTAAATTTCAACGGGGTATGGAAACCCTTTTGCTAGTCGTATAAGCATTTTCTATTTATATTGTCTATTTACATATTTATTTACTTAAGTTCCTTTGCAAGCATTTAGGTGATATTTAAATTACTTGGCTTTCGAAAATCAACATCGTGCATTTTGAATTTGTCTCTAAATTTTTTTCTAGCTTAAATTTAATGAACGCAAATAACGCCTTGAAGTATGCAAAACACGAACAAAAGACACATCTAAGACTTGGTTGGCATCAAAGTAAGAACTTGCTGTGTGGGTTTTTCACTTCATTAGCTTTGAAGAAATATCAACAAAAAACATAAACATAAGGAGTTACGGCTTCTCTTAATGTAACTGTAAATGTAACTGTAACTGTAACTGTAAATGCAACTGTAACTGTAACTGTAACTGTGGCCGTAACGAGGTCCAACTGGTGTTTGCCCAAACAATTTTCAAGCAATTTTACTTAACTGCCTTCGCAGATAATAAATCATTTTCTTTGCTCGTTCGCCCGATTTGCCTGCCGCCCGCCCGCCCACTCGCCGCTGGGTTAAGTGACTGATGGGCAGAATTTGTGTGTGAGGGGCTGTGAGGTGGTGTGGCGGGCGCGAGGGTTAGAGCCAGTCCCCTACCAGACTCTAGATGGCCTTAGATGCCGGTTGCTCCTTTCATTTATATATGCATATATATATATATATATGCGACGTTATCTGTTTTTGCTAATTAACTTGGCTGCCTGTCGGGCCAGACCAGCGCGAGCGGGCGAGAGAGAAATATTGGGAAAAGGAGATACCAATATCCCGAACGGGCTAAACTTGAACGTTACGTTTTGAATTTCTTTGGAAATCAAAAATCTCATTAAAATGTTCGGCGGCAGACCTGCCCTCCGAGAACCTCTTTAACATAAAAGAAAGCAAAAATAAAATGAAACAAAAAAAAAATTATATATAAAGAAAAAAACAACGACGACGACAACAGCCAGCGACAATTATTTATGGGCAGTCGGGGCGCTGCTCTAAGGCAATATTACTGTACTTACGTCTTTGGTGGCTTTTCAGGCGCAACGAGTTTTCCACTAAGCCAAATAGTCATTTCAGCTCTCAGTACCCAGACAGAGGGCCAAGGCGAAATGGCCACGAGATTCACAAAGTAACAACGGGTTGGCTAACTAGGCGTATGCGAAATTTAAATAAACTTCTTTGTTGCGAGCAAATATTTACAGAGTGTGATTGTGTGTGTTTGCGTTGCATATGTGTGTAGCATCTTTGTATATGTATCTTATATATGCATAAAATTGATCATAAAAATAATATATATATTAATAAATAGCTTGACTTTATTTTCGTGCGAAGATAAAAATGTGACAGACAGAAAAAAAAAAAAAAACAATTGAGGAAAATAAACACGAATTTTGGCGTTTGGAAGCATAAACCACATTTTAATTATTTTGCCCGAACAATGTTTTATATATTTTATATATATTTACATTTTTTTTCATTCAGCTTTTGTGAATAATCAGCTTCTATATTAAAAACCACAAATTTAATATGCATGCCATAAATATTGTCCGTTGTCATTTTAAAGACATATTTTCATATATATAAATTCCGATTTAGAATGAATTAATATTAAAATTCGACCAACGTTTTAAATCAACCTGTACCTGAGCTCACCTGAAATACATCTACAAATTGTGTTTAATTTGGGTTAATAACTAATTGTTGAAGCAGCATATCAACTGATGATGCTCATAATTATATATTCAGATCTTATTTGCTTTTTATGCCCTTGCAGAGGGTATTTTAGTTTTGTCAGCCTCATATATATAGAATATATATATATTCTAGGTCAGTATCAGCAACCGAGTCTCTTGCATGCGTTTCTCTTTCTGGTGCACGCAGAACATATATATGTCGGAACCGGAACGATCGGTCGAAAATTGAACTCTTGTATTTTTCAGCAAACTCAGCACTTACGTAAGGGCTTCAAATCTTCGGCGTACCGAGGTTTATAACTACAAATATGACTATGCGAAAAAAAGTACCCATTTAGTTATTGGTACAACTGATTCTCTAGTCGAATATTTATTGAAAAAAGTACTATGCATATGTACTTCATTCGAATACTCATTCGTTTGTAGGGCATTTCCTACACTGCCTGGAAACTCAGAGATACATATATATGAAAAAATCGCTGCCCCTTTCGATCGTTGCGGTCGTTGTTGCTTTTACATTAATTGAAATATGAAATTATAATTGCATTTTTTGCCCAGATTACACGAAAAACAACATTGACCCGAAATCCGGTCGTGTGCCGCCCAAAAACCCCAGTCCAAGCCCAATTGATGACAACACAATTTGAGTAAACTTTTTGCCAAGACATAAGAGAAATGAAAAAAATAGCGAAAGAAAGTAAAAAAAATTGTAATTATAATTATAATTAAATAACGAGCAAAGTGAAGGCGCGCGCGGGTAGAGGTGTGCCTGTGTGTAACCAGTTAGGTCAACAGCTTGGTTAGGATGTGGCCATAATTCACTTGGCTGCCATCGATTTGGCTAAAATGTGTCAACAACAGTAGCAGAGGCCACCAGGACTAACTAATGCCGACGTCTGTGTATGTGCATGATATCAAGAGCAGCTACGAACAATAAAACAACAAAAACGAACGACTATCTTCGGTACGCCGAAAGCTAAATACCCTTACTGACATATGGCTAACAATTGCATTTATAAGCAAAGCCTTAGGCTTGTTCCTATAGCAGCTATATGATATAGCTGTCTGATATTCAGAATTGCAAAGCTCGTAACTGCTGAGGTTGAACAAGAAGGAACTTTCGACCGATTCTTCCTTTAGAGCTGTGTATATGATATAGTAGGCCCTAGCCTAATTTCGCTAATAACATTTTATACATTTTTTTTGCGAATGTCACGCATGCTGCCTCTTCGTTTTCTCCTAGGAAACCACATTTTTCACATTTGCAATAAATTTAATATTTGCGAAAAATGATTTAACGAATTTCGTATCGATAAAGAAGCGGTACTTTTGCCATTCATATGTTACCTGCTAATTGAATCGCAGAAGGTGAAGTTTGTAAATGTAAGAAATGTTGAGCATAGAGGAATCAGGCCATCAGTCGCAAAAACTTTTAAATGCAGTCCTAGTCTAAAATGTCTTTAAATAGAGCTCGTTTGTACAAATACATATAGTTCGATTGATCCTTTCTATGGCAGCTATAAAATAAAGTGATCCGATCTGGAAAAACTTGAACTGAGAGACTTTTCTTAATATAAACACACAGATGAGACGGCCTGACGGATATGGTCAAATTGA